ACCTGTAGTCCCAGCTACTTGGGAGGCTGAGGCAGGAGACTCGCTTGAGCCCAGGAGTTGGAGGTTGCTGTGAGCTGTGATGCCATGGCACTCTACCCAAGGGGATAACTTGAGGCTCTATCTCAAAAAAACAAACAAACAAAAAAACCCCCTGTCTTCCCAATTCTCAGGGAGGCGGATTAAAAAAAAAGAAAAAAGCTAACAGAAGCTAAATTAGCAAAAAAAAAAAAAAAAAAAAAAAAAAGTAGGCAGTTCGGCACCCATAGCTCAGTGTTTAGGGCTCTGGCCACATACACCCAGGCTGGTGGGCTCGAACCCGGCCTGGGCCTGCCAAACAACAATGACAACTACAACAACAAAAAGCTGGGCATTGTGGCGGGTGCCTGTAGTCCTAGCTACATGGGAAGCTCAGGCAAGAGAATCACTTAAGCCCAAGAGTTTGAGGTTGCTGTGAGCTATGACCCACGACACTGTACCAAGGACAACATAGTGAGAGACTGTCTCAAGGGAAAAAAAAGAAAAGAAAACTTTTTGTCTTAAGGTAATTGGTAGTTTTAAGAAAGAAAATTTAAGACAAAAATGAGGAATTTTAAAATGTTGAAAGATGGTGCATGTAAGTCATGAAGGTTTGTGAAAAAGATTTTAGAAAGAATTTTGTATGTGATTAAGTTGATTAAGTGAAAAAGAAATCTCTAGTTAAAACAATAATGTTGTCTGTTCTCAGTTCATAAGATTTATGTTTGAAGCCTCTTAAATTTCTACTCCTGTATACATATTGAAGGTAATGAGAAAAAAATCATCAAAAGTCTGAACTCAAAGGGTCAATTTACCATTATAGGGTTAATACAAAGTTTGTTAAAAACTGTTTTTCTGTCTTTTTCCTTGTTAAAAACTTCGGTTGTTATGTTGCAAATAGCCTTGAGATAAAGTACCAGCACTCAACAGAAGACCCAAGGTCAGTTACTTATTTGGAACTAAAGAAAAAAAAAAAGAGCCCATTTTACTTTTTGAAACAGAAGCTGTTTTTCTTTCTGAAATGCTATTACTCTGGTTCTTATAGTAACTGAAATGATTATTCAACAAACTGCTCCATGTTTGAAATTGACTGGAAATTGCATCCTATAGGCCACAAAGTTCTGAGAAAGTTGAAAGAATGAAAAGAACATTAAAGGCTAGTATAGGGAAAATATGCCCAGATACTACACTTCAGTGGATCCAGGCTTTACTATTAGCATTGTGTAAAATCAGTTGTGCTCCTGGGTGGCGCCTGTGACTCAAAGGAGTAGGGTGCTGGCCCCATATACCGGAGGTGGCAGGTTCAAACCCAGTCCTGGCCAAAAACTGCAAATAAATAAATAAATAAATAAATAAAAATTCAGATGTGCTCCTAATAAAAGAACAGGGTGCTCACCCTATGAAATACTGTATCACAGGCCCCCTCCTATTTTAAGAAATTTACCAGAGACCCTGAGAGAACTGGGAGAAACAGAACTTACTAACTTACTAACCAACTAATGTCACTGGGAAAAATAATAATAATAAGATTTCAGATGGAGTGAACGATAGATGTCATAGATAGTTTATCTCCCCAAGTCCATGCCTATTCTCCAGGTAACCAGGTGTGGATTAAAGATTGGAGCCTTGGCTTGGCACCTGTAGCTGAGTAGGGCACTAACCACATACACCAAAGCTAGCGGGTTCGA